TTTGTTCGTAGTAGACTAAATTTTTTTTATTTTTGAAGTGAAGATTTGTAGATCTGCCATTGCTTTTTCGTTTTCCTAATAAATTTATAAACTGAACCTGCGTTTTCCTTCTCCGCTTGGTTATACTTACAAGAAATATATTTTTGTGTTTCATAATAAATTAGATTTGTGTTATTAGGTTTCTTTGTGCAGCTTGTAGTATAAACATAAACTTTAAGCCAACGAAGAAATTTTTTAAAGCATTTTGAATATTAGTATTTTCATCAATAAATCCTAAAATAAACAATTTCTTAGTAACACTAATCGTTAGACAAATCCTATCTTCAAACAAACGTAAAATTTCATAAAACAAAATGTGTAAAATGCATTCCCATATAGAAGGCGTACGTGTTCTATCGTTTCCTCCTTATCATGACAAAAGCTGCACAATTTACAGTAATATATATATTTTTTTTATTTTGAATAACTAAGATTTAGTTTTTTATCCTACATTGAAACCATTGCAGTATACAGACGTTTGTTACCCTGAGAGGTATTGTGTAAAGTTTTTTTTTTATTCCTGAGTTCTAACTTCTAAGAGCTCACTCAAATATATTTTACCTGCTGCAACAGAAAAAGATTTGAAGAAGGATTTCACAATACATATAGCATTTGAATTTTTTTTTTTTACATTTCATTAGGTACTACGTAGATATTTTACATAATTTAATGGATTAGTCAGCTTTTTTACTGCTATTTCCTGACCAAAATTTTCATCCAACCCTTTATAGCATGAATAATACTTTTGAATTCTAAAAAAAAATAATCTTTGTATTTGGATAGGTTTTGCAGAAATACTCATAAGTAAACAGCGAACCATTTTCATTAAGTTGTTTAGTGTTGCTATAAAACATTTGTTAATTATAAAATGGTTTTCTACCAAAATGCAAATGTGGATTGTAAAATAGTGATAATCACTAGCAACATCAAACTTTTTATCAAGATTTTTGTAACATTGTCCAGGACTTAAAACATCTGTCCAAATTTTATTTTTTATCTTTTAAGAAGTTTTAGTATATTCAATTCCATAACTTATAAATTTGTTCAAATCGAATTTAGGAATCATTTCATCGTCCTATTTATGATGTGTTATCCAAAAAAAATTCATAGAAGCTATAAAAGATATCAGATTTAACATTTTTAACCTTCATCTTCATATTTTTCACAATTATTTATTTTTTTTTACCCTATGAGTTGAGTTACTCCATATATATTAGCTTAAATAAATCGGTTATTGTTTTTAATCTCAGATATCCATGAAACGCGATTAATTATATTTTTTGATTTTTAGGAAAGTCCTATCTTTATATAAAGTATCAAAACAAATATAAATATTTGTCTAATTTTAGTTAGTCTGAACTTATAAAAAATACGCCAAATATGACTTAAATTACTATTTAGTAAATAAATAGTAAGTATCCTTTCCAGTGTTTTCCAAACTGATTTCAAGATATTCTTGGTAAAAAAAAGATTGATTGTGAAATAACCCTTGACCAAAGAGACTTTAAGTATTAATTGTGGGTAGACAATGTGAAAAAAATATTATTAAAAAAACAAGTAAGCGAGTTATGTAATTTGTTTTCTACATTACCTATTTATTGGTTATATTAACAAATGCATGAAAAAAAAAAAACAACAAATCACCCTCAAACAGGGTATATAGCGTATAAGTGAAAAATTTAACGAGACGCAAATTTCACGATTTGTACTTAAAAATGGGTATTTTATTTTTAGCGACAAGTAATTTTGGCGATTTTAAAATGCTCACTAATGAAACTATTTCAAATAAAACGCAATTAATTTTTAGCAATATTCAATTTTAGCGATCTCAACACCCTCGCTTATAATACCAAAATGAATTCCTCGCTAAAAAATGCTGCTTATACGGTATACATTTTCTAATTTGATCCGATACATGATCACAAAAGCGTGCTTAATAAGTTTGGATACTTTCTTAACCGAGGTAAATTACTTACAAACAAGTTGATGTTTCAGCAGTCTCGTTTAACGTCGTCATTTCGTATGTTCCATGGTCGATACAATGACTTTGTCAACATAAAAATTAACATTAAGTCAACTGCTGACTGACGTTGTTTGACCATTATTTACACTGAGTTGTAGACGGATTTTTTTCTTTTCGTTTATTTCCCGAACATAACAAGGGACACACGGCGGATGTGACCGGTCCTCAGGGAATGCTTACTCCTCCATGTCAACTGATCCCATCTCTAATGTTTAAGAGTCTGTGTTTGCTCTGCTCCGTAACTGTATTGTTTAATGAACATTTGGGATCGAGTATTGTTTGTTATCTCCATATAATATATAGAATTACCAATGAAAGAAATTTAACATTTTTCTTTGGAAAAAATTATATACAGTTTCACTAGCTTCAAAAGAAGAAGACAATCTTACATAGATGTTCACTAAAAAGTAATTTCAAAATTGTTATACATGTATTTTTGTAGGTGTCCAAGAAGAACAATTATTTCTGTTATTAATCAATTAGGATTTAAAAGTAAAATTAAAAGAAGAGATTAAAGAAACTAGCTATTTATAATAAATTTCGTATTTGGCATGGTCTATTAAACGCTTTAAGTGATGATGCGTAGATGTTATGAAATTTAAGAAAAAAGGGGTCTTGATTGACCAAATAATGCAGACAATTAAGATATTGAATAGTAAGTTCTTTCATACAAAATATTAACAGAAAAAATTACAAACACGTTCATTAAAAAAGAAAAAAAATGTTTTATTCTATTTCATTTTAAGAAAATATGCTAAATTAAGTCTCAAACACATCCCTAATAAAATGACAGAAAAAAGAGATAAATTCTTGTTAAAAATGTTGTAATTCTATTGAAACATAAGCACGTGTAAAATTTAAAGTAATTTTCAATTTTATATAAATATTTGAGTGACTTCTCAATTCTCATTTTCCAGACAGATTAAACTGTACGTTACAGAAGTACAATCTCAGTCATTAATATTTTGGGAGTATAATTATCGTGGGTGTAGACTTTATGGTGATATTATGTGTATATGAGTGAGGCACAATAAAATAACGTGTAAAACTCCATGATCAAAACATATTTGCAAAAAACAAAAAGAGGGAATTCTAACAAACTTGATAAAACTTATAAGATAGATGCTGAAAAGTTGACATCCGCTGCTTATATTTTATAGAGACATAACAATAAATGTCAATATCGGAAGTATAATAATTATAAGAAAATGTGATATGGAAGTGGTCCCGCTGTTTTCTGACAAGACGAGGATGCAGTCCGTCCTTATATATACCCAGGCTCCTTACCATTTATTGGAAGGCGACAGTCAGTCCGAGACTCTAGGCACAGAGAAAGGTAAGAATGAATGATATTGTAATTTCATGCGTAAAAAACAATACTGAAATCCCTTGTAGACATATCACTTGGGTCTTTTTCTAGCATTCTTTCTTGAAATATTTCATAGAAAATTGCCCAAATCCTGTTGAAACATTTCATATGCCTTTTTCTGTTAATACTTTAAAAAAAAAACAATTAAGATTGAAATATGATTTTGTAATTTTATATGTAAAACGTTACTGAAATACTTTCAAATTGATGAAATATTCTATGGGGTTCTTCCTGAAAAAAAGCAAACATCCTATTGGAACATTTCTTACACCTTTTTTTTCAAATGAAATGTTCTCATTTTTTTAAGGATTATGCAAAAGATTTTCGATTGTCAGGAAAAAAGTATGCTCCATGCATTTACTTTGTTACGAAACTTAATTAAAAAGAATTAATAATCATCTGATGGGTTTATTACCTAACTATCTTATTACATGTAATGATTTTCTGCAGCATATTTTTTTTTAACGTTGCATGTGAATTTAAAGCATAAAAATAATTGTTGTTTCTTATTGCAAAAAAATCATCTAATTCAAAATTTATACCCATTTGGTTTTGTGATTACAAAAATGAGAAGAAAGTCAAATTTTCATTTACAAGTAAATTCATTCCATTAAACACTAGTAAATGTCAATATCTGCGAAATCTTACCTTTTGGTCCATATCACAATATAAATGTCAAAATTAAAGATAAACCAATAATAGATAAACCAAAATCCTGCTTTCGAATTTCACTTACTAGTATTCATATTCCCTTTTCAAAACTTTTGAACAGATGAGGTGTTATTTTGGTATATACATATTTTACGTCAAAATCAGAATAAGAAAGATTTTCTTTAAAAAAAAGTAATAATGGCAGGATTCTAGCAAAAATCCGTTTTTAAAATGGTCACAGGATGCTCTGTGATAAACTTGATGACTTCAACTTTTCGTGAACTTCTCGTACTTCCAGAAATATACTTCAATCATCTGGAAATTGGGTCAATGTCTCGCACTTTGATAAGTACATGTTAGAGCATGCTCTACCAACAAAGAATTTTTACAGTGAGGAAAGCTACTGGCAAAAAGTTGATGAAACAAAAATATTAACAGTCCTCGTGTGCCTTTCATATATGAAGGATATGGAGATAACGAACAGTATTCAATCTCAAAGTCCATAAAACAATACAAAAAAAGGAGCAGAGCAAACACGGCGCTCCGAAAGATCAGAGGTGGGATCAGGTGCCAGTCAGTCGTCAGTCAGCATTTGACTCAATGATTAATTGTATTTGCTGCCAAGATCATTGTATCGACCATAGAACTTACGAAATGATATTACTTTACACGTGTTACTGCTGATATTCTTGTTTCATCAACTTGCTTGTCAATAATTTACCTCGTTTTAGAAATTGTTCGTACGAAGAGCATGCTCTTGCATATCTAATCAACTGAGATATATGTATTCCGTATGCAGGTGATGAAGGTATATTGCTGCATAAGTAAGGGAATATATATATATAAAAGGCCACAGAACATAAAAAAGAACAATTTCGATTTACTTATTTATTACTATTAAGTTTTAATTTTTTTTCCAGATTGTGATATCGACAGAATGGGACCGTGCATTACACATTTTCTAGCATTTTGTTTGTTCCTGTCTGTAACAGTTCAGAATCCTTTAGATAACAGGACTGTAATGCTGGCATCCAGATCAGCAAGGTGATCTTTTTCACTAATAAATATTTTGTATATTTTTGTCATAATGTTAAATTAAACGAAAAGTAACAGGGCAATTTTATATCATTAGTTGTATTGGACGGGTCGGTAGATGTACAGTTAGCGCTATTGTTGACAATACAGTAACATATACTGGTATTGAATTGCAGATGTGCAATTTCGAAAAGTTATAAACACCTACAAAGAAACAACGTAGTGTATTATATTGATTTCTGTTCCATCAATGGGGTGACCATCCATGTGTATAAATGTTAAAATGCAAAAAAATTCTTGTATGCTCAAAATGATTATTGTTGTCATGAAGAAAACAATCGTTATAAGTAAAACTTGTCTATTCCGAGCCATCATTTAAACCAAAGAATTTGGCCGGATAAGACAACATTCCCCTTTAGATAACATATTAGACAAATGAAATCTTTACAGAGAAGATTCCAGAAAACACAAAATCTTATTTATGCAAGTTTCACTGAAACAATTCGAGATATTTGTGTAGTTAATTCCCGATTTGTTACTCATTTATTTATTTCATTTTACAGAAAGGTCCGAAGCACTGGTCTTTTAGGGGAGTTTGAAATGATGAATGCTCTGGCTGAGGTTATGAACTCATATCTTGCACATGGACTGAATATATCTTATTAGTAAGTTTAATGTCATCAAATATACGGTTTTAAATTATGTTCATTTAAGCACTGAAGTACAGCACAGTATGATTTGTTTTACTTGTGGCTTTTATGAAAATTCTTTAAAAGACATTTTATTTTGTATTGATGTATTTGAAATCTGTAAAGCTTGCCTTTCTTTACTGTAAGTATTTTGCCATTTTGCCACTATTATCTTTATAAGAATTTTATCACTTTCTTTTTTTTTTTTTAAACTTCAGTGGAAAATGAGATAAACAAGGAGTTCTTCCACGTAGGTATACAATTATTACTTTTTTCAAATTTCTTTTCTAAATTAAAATTATTATAACTTTATATTTAAAGCTTTAAGTCTGCAAGTAAGTAATATTATGAATGCATTAATCACCAACAATCGCTAAACAATATTTTATCTGATTTATGAGTTACCTCCCAATCCCTCTCTGACTCTCTTTCTCTCTCACTTATTTTTTGTTGTTGTAATTATTGGTGGTATTTAACAATTCCTCTCATTTTTCTTACAGGAATCACCAACGACCAAGAAATAAAAAGTGATGTTTTGTACATAGACATTAAAATTGAAGAAATAAATTGCTCATGCTCAATGAATGGAATTATTATCAATATTGTCATTATTGTGTCGATCTCAAATTGATCTAAAAAGAGTTAAGAAAAAATGAAACTATATATCGGTTTGACCTTTTCCAACTTCTGTGATCAGACACAGAATATTTGCTTTCGTCTTTCTGACGAATTGAATGTACGTGCTAGTTAGAAGAAGTTAGATAAAATGGTTTTAGTTCTACCATGTTCTAATGAACTCAATATTTGGTTGGACAACAGAGTTTTTATCTATTTGTTCAAAAGTACAGGTATTTGTTTTTTCTTCTTTGGTCAATATTCTACATTACTATAATAAAGCAAAACATCAAAGATTGATTGATTGTTTACTGTTTAAGAGTAGGTAATATTTCAGCCATAAAGACGTGTGAACATAAAGCACATGTCATTGAATCAAATGCTCTTTGTGGATGAGATTTAGACATTAAAAATTTTTTATTGACTCCTATCCTTTTCAGTCTCAGGTTTTATGGAAGTTTTACTTAATTTTTGTGTACGTTATAATACGCTTAATACTTAATTAATGCTTCTTGGTTTTTCTTTAGTTTTTATGTATAACACATGTATAATTTCTTGTCTTAACAACACGAAATACTACACCAATTTAGCACTTATACATCAACAAAAATGAAACAAAAATGAAACATCATTAACAAAGTTTGCATTTTTTTATTTATTTTTTTCCAATAAAAGTTCGATATTAAAAGAAGATACATAAAAAATAATAAAGCAACTTTTATTTCTCCTGCATAAAATCTTTTCGAACATCTTTTTATTAATAAATAGTACTACTTTTAATTCTTAAAGGAATGCACTTATATTTTATTACATGAAACGTCAGCTCAACAGTATTTACACAAGTAGTCGATTTTTTTAACTGCAAGCAGTTATGACCTACTTTTCTGACTTGCATATGATTGGACCAGGACGTTTTATCTAACGACGAGTGTATTTTGTTTTTAAATGAGGAAGCTTTCCGTGCGTTGTAAGCCTAGCTAGGAAAATTGTGGGATGTGGACTGAGCATAGAATTATTTGTAAGTAAATCAAATTGATTTCATTGCATACAGAATTGCGTATTATGCACAAGGAAATTGTTCAAGGTCATTCAATACATACACACGTAGCATTGAAATAATTAATATAAATAATGACGAGTAGCGGTTTTCCGGTTTCATGCTCAATGATTGACATAAAACTGAATTCAATTATTTTGTCGTAGAATGATATGGAATCTCTGTCAACAACACTAGCAGATGACTTTCTTACATGCTCCATATGCTGTGAAATCTATACGGAACCCCAAACGCTGCCATGTTTACATTCATTTTGCAAGAAATGTATTCAGACGTTCATCCAATCTGGTTGTACGGAAGAGCCATATCACTGCCCAATCTGCAGAGAACCGTTTTCATTGGAAAATAAAGGACTTAAAAAGAATTTTTGCTTACAGAATATGGTTGACCTGATTAAAAAACAATCCGATTTATCTAAAACTTTTTGTTCGTTTTGTATGGATGAGGATCATATCGCTGTTTCCCAGTGCTTAACTTGCTTAGATTTTCTCTGCGAGGAGTGTTCGAAAACAAGACATACATTCACCACCCAAACCAGAAATCATAAAGTTAAGTCATTAATTGAAATAAAGGAAGGCAAATATGACAGAGAAATAGAGGTGGCTAAAAAAATTCGTTGCCCAAAGCACAACCATGAAATTCGATACTTCTGTCTCCAATGTAACCTCTCTCTATGTGGAGACTGTGCTTTATTTGACCACGAACATACAGATGTTAAACTTATTTCTGAAGTAAGAAGAACCAAAGAATCCAAAATATCCAGCATACTAGAACCACTAAGAACAAATCTTCAGACTTTACAGGAAAAGCGTTCAACAGTTGAGATACGGATGAAAGAATTAGTTGAAAAGGAAACATTGATGAAAGGTGAGATAGAAAAGGTATGCAGTGATGCAGTGAATAGCATTCACGAGGCTCAAAAGAATATTACAGAAGAACTCACGAAAAAAGTAAATCCTGGAAGAGAATGTCTAATACATGTCCATGATAAAGTAACTGAATTGTTCAAAAACATTTCTGAGTCAGTCAAGTTTTCTGAGAATATTCTGAGTAGAGGAAATGATGTTGAGGTGTTGTTTTTGCTTGACGAAATTTACGAAAGACTTTCAAAACTGAACGAAACGTATGCGACACAAGAGCATCAATTTCAATGTCCCTCCGTTGAAATTCCATATTTACATTTGAAATGGAACGAACCATTTATGATGAGTTTTTCTACCAGGATTGATGATAAAGACATTGTTAACATGAAAGAGGCCCTTAAAATAACGACAAAAACGTGTGAACCGAAACGTCCCTCGGTACAAAATTCATCAAGTAACTTGTCTGAACAAAAACAAAATTCAAAAAGTCTACCAAATCTTACTCTTAAAGAGAAACCTCATGAGACTTTTAGGCTCCAGTTCAATAAAAATCTTTATCTAGATGACGTCAGCGATTTGCGCACCCCCGTGTTTACCAGTGTTGCATGGACGGCCGATGGTCGTATAGCGGCAATAGACAGAGAAAACAACAAAATCAAAATTTTAACACACGACACTGAAGTACATGCAGTTAAATCAATAAAGGTACCAGGTGCATGTGTGATTTCCTCATATCGAATGGGATTTGCTTGTCTCGCTGGTTCAAGGTTGCTTATTTTCGATCAAAACTTTAATGAATTGAACAGATTTGAAGGAATTTCAACGATAATCACACAACATCCAGAATGCGATACACTAGCGTGGATGTCAAAGAAAAAGGTTTTTATCAAAACCTGTGACAGGATCGATGAACGGGAAATATTAAACGACCAAGGGAAAAAATTCTCCTTCGGCAAACCGGTGTATGCCAGCCGTCTTCCGAACAAAACACTGATCGTGTCCGACTGGATAAAAGACCGTGTGTACCTGCTTGACCAAGACTGCAAGATTTTCAAGAGAATTAATGCCTACCCAGGATCAATTGCTTTTGATACTGAAAATAACATTTTTATATCTGAATACTTTGATGGGAGTCTTTCAATATTTGACAGCAAAGGGATTAATAAATCCTTTATCAAAATTGACAAATGGCAGACTAAACCAAGAAGCATTGCTATTTTCAAAGATGCTCTACTTATCGCAAGTTCAAACAAAGTCAATATATATAATTTTTTGTCTTAAATGATTTAATGACCATATCTTAAAATAGACTAGTGTATTCAAAGATGTCTCATATTATTTAACGTAGAAATAAAATTATTGATTAAAATGTTTACATGTCCATGTACATACAGTATCGAATTTTTTTCTTCATAGAAAAGAATTCAAATAAAGTAATAATTGGGATTTTATTTAATGATCACAACAATAAAAATAATTTTGAATTTCTATACGTAAACTCTATTCCTAAACTTCATAACAATTTGTAGAAAGAAAGATCCATTGCGGGTTCTAATAAATGTTTTAAAGCCTTTCGTATATCCTCACTAAAATATTAACAGCAGAATAACTTCGGAAATACTGTTTAACTAAATTTTTGAGAAATGTAAATCGGTTGTGAATATTCAAAAATCCTGATCATTCACATTTAAAATCAAAGTTCTTTCAATTTTTTTCTCAATATTTATAATTTTAAAATGTATGACTTTTTAACACATTACACAATTAGAATTATCAGAAGCCCTTTAAAATGAACTAACAAATCAACTTTTCTTGGCATTAGTCAGTGGCAAATTTATTTTGCTAAGCCATTCTGCTTTCAAAGACACACACAAAAAATCAAAATTAATATTAAAAATATCTTGAGTTTCTAACTAACAATATCTGTGTAGTTTTTGGACTAGATCTTTGCATACAAGTAATTTGTTCGAATTCTAATGAATATTAATTTTGGTCATACCATGAATGATTGTATTTAAACTGATTTTTCAAAATTTGTCATAAACTTGTAAAGATGGTTGATGACAAAGTATGATTGCATACCATTGATATTCAGAGTCATTACATTACATGTAGGGATAGACAAATATGAAGAGACCTGGGATAAAATCTTCATTCTTGTGTTTACAGGATCATCTTTTGAACACTAATGGGGTTTTTTGTTCTCTCTCTTCTGAATCGCTTTAAAAAAAGTGGGTCTGCTGGTAGTAGGAATTTCTTTCCTAGAAAATTTCACACACTTATTGACAGGATCAAACAAGTTCAGGAGTAAATGTAACGGATATTTTAAAAAATGATCGTTTTTAAATGATGGATTTAAAAATGTTTTAGTCAGTCGATGAGGAGGGGGCAAATAAACAATTTTTAAAGATGACCCAGGATAAATTTCTTGCTCTTACCTGCTTGTCCTCAGTTTAACGGAATATAAGCACTTTGATATAATTATTTGTTTCACAGCTGTTTTCATGAGAAGGCAAGAAAAAAGATGTATCAGTATCTAGCTATGGTATTTATTAAATTAACATTCAAAATTATTTAGTATAAAAACATTCTGATTGTACTTACAAGTACTCTGAAGTTAATATTCGAAAGATGCTTGATCATGAGTTTCTGATTGACAGTGGGGTTTTTGAAGACCAGGTCTTCCAACAATCTATGAGAATTCCCCATTGGTACCAACTGCACACCCTTACAAACAGACCTACGTTTGTATTCATATGTAGCAGGATTTGTCCAAAAGAAACACTTGCTGTGCCTCGACATTTAGATATATCGACGACGTTTTGTCAATTAAGAATGGTTAAAACATATAATGTGAGGTTGATGAATCCTTTTATATATTCAAAAAGCTATTTTAAATATACTCTAGATTTACAGTGGACAGGCGTGTATGTATCGTTAAATATTTAGCACTAAATGTGCTTCTAATTTAATAATTTGGAAATTAAATACATTCACTGCAAACCCAGGGCTATTTAAATGTCTTTGTTAAAGACACCATTATTCGTTTTTCAATTTGAAAAATATCTTATTCTTACCTCTTAAAGCAGAAACATTTGTTGTTGATTAAATTTCGTTTATTCTGATGTCAATGATTTATACATGTATTGTGTAAACTTAATTGCTAAACAACTATAATCAACGAGTACAAAACCTTTTTAGATGACAAATCAGAGGAAGTTTACCCCCACCAGAATCTGTGCTCATACAATTGATTATTTGATAATTTTTTTTAACTAATTCAGTTGTAAGGATCATCACTCCACATAAACTGTTGATATATAATCATTTATCTAGCATAGATATGTGTCAATGTGTCAAAGTCTAATTTAGTTAACGCTACATCAGGTGATAGTCACAAGGTTGGAAAATGACTGCGTTATAACATAAAAAAGGTATTTTATTATTTTTATAAACAATTGTTAATTGATATTTGATTAATACAGTCAAAAAATTTCAGTTCTTGTGAAGTTCACTTTATAATAAAATAACATTTGTTCAAGGAGAGCGTTGATTTTAAAAATACTGTAAAATCACATATTTTCAAGGGGCCAAAATTTTGTGGTTTGAGGAATTATATCTATGTTCCTTTGTTATTAATGCAAGACCGAGGCCAAGTCAACTGAGCTAGTTTTTTGATGGATTTCAAGAAAATAACAACAGTAATGAAAGTGAAAAAAAATGTCATTTATTGAAGTAAATCACGCAAAACAAAAATTAAACATATTAAGGGGGTCAGACAAGACTAGTAAAAACTTCGAAAGAACAAAAAATCTTTGGTATCATATTATGCAATCTGATCCCTTAAAATTAAATATAGCATAAAGCCGGCACTGGTATGCCTGCCATCAAAAAAGGGTGAGATAAAAGAAAATAAACGCCAAACAAACAAGTATGAACACTAAAACATATACATGTATAACAATGTTGATATTTGCATATCTTGGTATTTTGTTTTTAATATCATACAAGAGAAATTAGTCTTATTTTTTCTTTTCATGAATAAATGATTTGTATTTATCATTTCTACAGTTTTAGATTTCATTGAATGACTTTAAAAAAAAAACATTTATATGATTTATTGAAGTTTGGCATCTTTTTTTTCTGAAAAAGAGAACTACTTAGTAGGAATTGATTTTAATATATACCTACAATGTAGTAATAAGCTGTTCCCTTACTCACACCAGCTATGGAAAGACCATACGATATCTTTATTATAAAATAAGAATACTTTGATCCTTCCCTATTCTCTCTCTGTTACTTACTTTCTCACTTTTTCAAACAATATGAGCCTTGACTTTAACTGCTAGAAACTAAACAAATTGCTCATAAAGTATTCGTAAATATCTCTTTAAAGGGAAAATATATTAAAATAATTTCATTTAACCGAAAGTTATTGCTAACATATCATTCAAGTTCATACGTTATTATGTTAATTCTTTTCATAATTTAGTCATATTGTTTGTCATACAACTTCATATTCAGACATCTATAATCTTTTCAGTAGATGAACATGGAATCACTTTCATCTACCCTAAAAGATGATTTCCTGACATGCATGATTTGCTACGAAGTCTTCACTGAACCAAAAACTTTACCATGTTTGCATTCTTTCTGTAAATCATGCATTTTGCGATATAATAAGGAAAAGGAATCAGACCTATCCAATATTTGTAGCTGTCCAATGTGCAGAGAATCATTTTCGATAAAATTGGAAGAAATAAAGACAAATTTTTGTCTAGTGAATATGATTGAACTAATTAAAAAGTCAACAGGGTCATCTGAATTCTGCTCATTTTGTCTTTTAATGGAGGAGAAGCGTCCAGCTGTTTCGCAGTGTTTAACCTGTCTTGATTATTTATGCAACGAATGTGGAAAAATGAGGCATGCCTTTACTCGACAAACAAGAGACCATAAAGTTGTTTCTATGAAGGACATCGAAACTGGAAAGTTTGAAAAAGAAATAAGATTAGCACAAAAAGAGCGTTGTTCAAAGCATGCAGATGAAATTTTAGCTTTCTTCTGCATGTCATGTCAACTGCCTGTTTGTCGGGATTGTTTAATATATGAACATAGGGAACACAAATTCAAACCAATTTCTGAACTTCGAAAAGCAAAAGAGCTTGAAATCAATGAAGTTATTAATCCTCTTAAGAAAAAATTAAAGGATTTTCAAGATTGCAGTGCTTCAATTACAGTAGAATTAAAAGATTGCGAAGCAAAAGAGAATAAGATCCTTCAAGAAATCAGTAAAAGTTGTCTGGAAGCAATCAATTGTATCAAAACGTCTCAAAGAAATATTGAGAAAGAGATACAAAACCAGATGCATTTACACAAAGAAAATCTGCAGCATGCATTTGATAATATCTCTAAACATTGTAAAAGTATTGAAGAGTCAATTACCTTTTCAAATAACATTTTAATGGACGGAAATGATTTTGAAGTTTTGCAGCTTATGGATGAAATTTATGAACGTGTCCTTAGTTTAAATGGATTGAACTGTACGGAAATGTGTCTGTCCAAAAATAAAGAACTACCAGAATACAAAATTACGTGGAAGGAACCCAAACTTCTAAGCTTCTCTTTGAAAACTTCTGGTGCCAAAACCTCAAGTATCCAAACTGAAGAAAAAGATTACGCATATGTAGAGCCAGTTATAGATGAATGCAGAGAGGAAAAGGAGGAAAATGATAAAATCACAGATCTCCCTTCTTCAGAACACATTTGTTGTCTCTTTCCTAGAGCGCGGTTTGAACCTCTCTCTGCTAGTGCGCCATATTTACCTCCCTCGATTAAAATTGCCAAGCAATGTGTACTTTCTTTTGTAAGAACACTCAAGTTTAATGTCAGCGATGACCAATGTACACCAGTTCATTCAAGTGTGACGTGGACTCGGGATGGTCGCGTTGTTGCTATTGACAAAATGAGTGAAAAAATGTTAAGCATAACATTGTCTACGGAAGTGAAAAAGTCAATTAAAATTCCCAAAATTCTTTCAGTTTCTGCAAATGCAGCTGGATTTGTTTGCAAAACTAGTGATGGCTATTTATTGAAACTTGATAGACAGTTTGCAGAAATAGGTAGATATGAAGGAGTGTCGACGATTGTGTCCACGTCGCCAAACAATAGATTAACGATATGGATGAATAAAAACAAAATATTCAAAGAAATCAACGGAAAGCTAACTGAAACTCAAATATACGATGAGAATGGCGACTTAACGTCACTTAGAACGCCCACTTACGCTTGCTCTCTGCCAAATGAAACAATTGTGGTTTCCGATTTCGATAAAAAGTGCGTTTATCTTATCAGTAACAGTGGTAAGATCTTGAAAGAGATATCTCATGACCCGGGGTCAATAAGTTGTGACGCTGATGGACATATCTATATCGCAAACTTTTTTACCCATACCATATCAAGATTTAATATCAACGGTACATTGTTGTCAACAATTGATATAAGAAAATGGCAGAAGGCCCCGAGATGTATCTCGGTTTTTAAAAACAAAATGCTTGTTGCTGGAGATCATGTAATTAACATGTACGATATGACATTTCAGTAATATCCATGTCCTAAACTCTCAATATACAAATATATATGGAACACTTCATAAATTCTATTTATTATTTGCACTTTAACATGCTTGAGAAACACTTCAGGACTAAATATACTTGCTCAAGTATGAAACACCAATGAGATGGAAAGATAGTATAGAGTCTCCTTCCTTTTTATTAAGGAAAGATGATACAAACAATTTTTTGTCAAAAATTTTAAAAATACCAACTTGGGTTATATTTTAATAAATAAAATAAATAAACTTCACCTCCTAGTTTTAACGTTTTTTATTCAAAGTTGCACAAAAATGGAATTTTAAGTGAAAATATTTGTATAGAATAATAAGGATGGCTTCAGAAAGGTAGAATTTAGAACGTCACAGAAGGTGTACAATTTCTTTATATTCTAGGAATTTATTATTTCAGGTAAAAAATATATATATATACCAATCAAGGTATACAATTTTTGTTTGTATCATCGGTCCTTCATAATACATGTGATCACTGTGAGGATTGCATCAACATGTTTATATACAGTCACTTTTTTCATTGATAAAAAACAATTTACATTAATCAATATACATTGCAAAGAATATTATAGATATACTAGCATGCATATCAGCTGTGCACCTTTATTAGCTTAAGCTATAGCTGTACATAATTTTTAATTATTAGTAATTTAGACTCAAGTGAATGAAATGCATTAAATAACTTGCAAAAGGTTTCAGTAGAGTAACGGAAACAGAAAAGGAAGGAGGAAATATGAGAGAAATATTATTCATTAATACACATCGTTTATCCACAATCAATAATAGTTATGTTGGAACCATTTATATATATTTATATATAATTTATATAGCATACCACTGTAAAGTCAAAAAAACTTCACTTTTAATACACACAATGTCCATATTGTATACACTGCCTTCTTTTCCATCTCTTAGGGTTCATCTCGATTGAAAAAGAAATATGACATTTGGTATACGAAGGTCATTCAGTAATAAAATTTGAATTAGCTATAAAACAATCAATACAATATTGTATTACTACGATCAAGTTATTGCATCATTAAAATGCACTTGAAGTGTTGCACATTCTATCAAAACAAAGAAGTTCGGGACAAGATCCACTTTATGTTAGCAATAGTTGTTAAAACAAGTCGAAGGTATTCTCCTTCTTAATGACAAAATAAAACGATAATATATTGATGCTAATTATTAAATTATCTACAAACGTTCTAAAAAATCCTGGATTTACATCAAGCGATGATGCCGATGATTCTGCAGGCTCTTTGAATTATATTAAAATAAATATATAAACGAGTGTTGTCCGGTAAAATCGAGGACAAAGCGTTTTTCTAAAAAAAAATACTTGAATTTTTCAGAAATTGTTTATTGATCATATTTTAATGCATAATAATTTTTCTGATAAAATATAGACAAAAATATTGATTTTATATGGCTTAAATGTGCACAGGGTAAAGTCCTAAGACGCACGAATAAAAAAGAAAAAACAGGGTTTATTTAGAGAAGACACGACTATTATTTCGAAATAAAAGAATCAAATTGAAAAGATTGTATAAAAATTATCCAGTTTTAATCTGCCACCACATTGTGTCGTCTTTTGGAAATTTTCAAGGCATTTGCTTAATTTTTGTCAGATTCCCGAGCATTCGAAATGTGAAATGTTCAACACAACACACGATAAATGCGACATTACGGCGTAGCGGTGAACAGTTCAGTTATAACAATTACTTGATAACAGACTAAAAATGAATGCAGAAGAAAAACATATGAAAAAATCAAGAGATTTAGTATACAAGTGAAATTAGAGTTAAATGAGCGAAATCTTTTAGATCAAATCCCCAGGAAGAACGAAACATGGGACAAACAGTCATGGTAATAGTGGAAAAACCCTGCCACTGTACATGTAGACCGTCGATATAAGAATGCCTATATGAATGCCTGAATGATAATGAAAATAACGTACACAATTTTCGAAAAAATCTGCAGAAGGTTCCATGTGTGTACAAGCTTAAGATTGGTTCCTCGATTGTTAATAGAGAAATAAAGGAAAACTCAAGAATGTGCATCAATGAATGACCTTGCGTAGAGAATAGTGATCCAAACTCCTCTTTGATAAATAACAGAAAATCTTTTCTTCATTTTAACTTTACATTTTTAATTTACAAAAATATACAACAAATGAAACTGGTTTGTGTGTGGTCGCCCGTGTCCCTCTAATATCGGTAGCCTTTTTTTTCCAAACAATGTTTGAGTTACACTACTGTCTCTTGCCGCTATGGAGGCTCAGACACCCCTCTCCAGTGCCGAGAAGGTTTACACTTCCCCCTCTTCAGTGCCGAGGAGGTTACACGTCGGTCTTGCGTTCAAGACTATGAGATGATACTGGTACGGGCCGCCATCTCTACCCTTCTATACAGGAATGACCAATGAGAACTCAGGGAAGCAGGGCCGTACCATAAATTCTAAATAAGGGTTGTGTTGAAATACCCTCAGTAGTCTGCCATGTGTATAAGACAAATCAAATAGATCTTTAGAAGTCTCGAAAACGTCTACCCGGACTGCCGTGTCCAAATTGAAGCAATGGCTTACAAATATTTTAAAGGTCCAGTGATTTGAGGTAAAAAAAAAAACCGGGGTAACATGAACCCAGTGAAAAATGGAGGCTACCCACAGGTGAATAAAAATTACTTGGGTGTTCGATGAGGAGATTTTAATGTGACACAAAGAGGAAAGGTGCTTCAGATATTTTGACTTTATCATCCCCGTATCGTAAGGCAAAAAACACATAACATAAAATCTCATAATTCGTTTATTTATGCATTTATCATTTTTTGTTGAAATTTGCAATATATATCAGTGAAAAATGTACTGAAAGAGTAGTGAAATATTTAGAACGCAGTGATGATTAGTTTTCGCACTAGACAAATTGGCCATGAACTTTCCCGACAACCCTCGTTTATAGTCTTTATTTATCAATTTAAAGAAAAAATATGATTAAATAATTAATTGTTCGGTCGAAATGTTACTTTTTATATTAGAAATAATCCCTTCACTGACTTTGTAACTCTACGGTGTTTTTAAGTGACAATGTTTAATTCCATCAGCTGGAATTCCAATGTCCAGTTATAGATCCTATCACGACCTGCATAGAAGATTATTTCTAAAAATAAATATATCTAGATCTAGGATTGCCCTCTCCCGACTTATTGGCTAAAGTCATAAAATCCAGAAAGCAATATTTATGCCTTTCGCAAAACAGGTATTAAATATTCACGACAGAAGTTTAATTTTTTTCTTAAATATTCCCACATATTTCTATACTGTCCAAATTTTATAATCCTGAGTCGAAAAATGCTGAACGAATATTACTTTAAGGAAGCTCAAAACACTAACAGAAACTGCTTTTTTGACTTCGAGAAAAATATATCATAGAAGGGTGTGCATATTGAGACTTTTACATTCATTTATATTTTAGAGTACTGTCCTATTTATGCAGGGAAAATGTTCAGTGACATTGGACTATCTTTTGAGCAGAAATCACTGCTCTTTACTTACATTGAGAATATCAATGAAAAAAATGAATTAAATAACTTTTTCTTGGTCTGATATAACGCTAAAATATTTTAATCTATTAAAAATCGTGCAATTAACTGTAAATAACATTTTCAAAACACTTATTTCTAAGGGTAGATCACTCTAACTGTATAAAATTACCCTATAAGTGGGGCTCTTTAGTGTGCAGTGTTTAGAGCTTCCTTAAAGTTCGCATTGGCGCAAAGACTAGAGGGCTTAGTGAGAAACGTTAACTTCAAAGGTAAAATCATAGTACATTGAAGACATGCGCAAAGTAGTTTTGAACTTGAATTTCTTTTTCCCAAATTTAAAGAAAATACAAGCTAAATCTACTATATTTATTATTAATTTTCTTTTTTAAAAAACCCCCAATTTTCAAAAATTCAATACCTGGACAAATCTCCTGGTAATGTCTGCTGATTTAATGTATAACAACATCTTATATGGTACGATGATTTTAAATTGAGAACTTCTTGAATACTGTTCGTTACCTCCATATGTTTGACCTTAAAAGGTTGTCTGTGGAAAGATTCTGTGTAAATGTACGTTACGTATGTCCTTAAACGCCACCCTCTCCCAGCAAGGATTTTTTGGCCCTTGTAGAGATAGATTCTCTTACATGTACATAATCTGTCTTGTTTCTCCAGTTTCGTGCAAGTCGTGTTGTAGCCTGGTCCCCTGTCGCATCCTTGCCTAATCACGCGGAGTACATGCAGCAAAACGGGGACAGGGAACCAGGCTAGTCCTGTTGCGACCAGAAGAGCATATTACAAAAACACGTCAATAGACGTACATCAGAAATTAAAGGATAAATAAAACAAACTTTTTTTTCAGAAATCAGTAATATTCACCATAGATTTCCATTTAAATTGGTAACCTGAATACTGGCTAAGTATAGTGGGAAAATTTTTATAAGATTTTGTCATAAGGTTAAAAATTTGTGCAAAATTTTGTATGGAATTATTTAGAAAGCAAAACAAAGTCTCATATTTAAGCACCAAGGAAAACCTAAGATTTCTTTTATTTCAATGATTTATTATTTATGTCATTTCAAACGAAAATTTATATCAATCCATGCATCAGTTTTTGTTTGTGTTAAGTACCCTTAAAAATATTCTTCGGACTGACTGTTCTGGCTGAATGAAGTTCTAAATAGATTGAATGCGAATCGACCTGTGTAAAATTTACAAAATTTACATTACAAATGTCATTTTCAAATCTAATTAATTTACAAATTAATATGATAAATATGATAATAGATTTACATGTATTTATTTATAATAATATTATTATTTGCTCTCTTTTTGGGTACTTGGAAACCTTAACCTGTGATGTTTCAAGGCAGTTAGAAACTCTGGGATATTAAAAAGGTATATAATTGGATTGATAAGAGAATTTACGTTTGCCAACAAATACAAAAATACAACAATGGTTGTGCTAATGGTGTCGACGTTCAAGATACTTTCAATTACGCGAATTATTACAATTGGTAGTGTTAATAAAAAT